ACCTTTATTCCTGGGAAAATTCTAGAATAGATTACTAAAAAAATGGCTGGTGAACCTCTAGAAAGAGAAATGGTAATACTGCTTCATCAAAAACAGGTCTGGACAGACTAACTTCATTCCTTTTTTGACAAGATTACTAAACTAGTAGAGAAGAGTCATGCTGCAGATACTGTTTACCTAGATTTTAACAAAATTTTTAATGAAGTATAATATTATTGTGAAGAAGATAGGATGGATTTGGTGCTAATGGTTGGATCGCTGGACTTGGAGATTTGTTATTAATGGTTCAGTGTCAATGTGGCAAGAGCTCTGTAGTGGAATGGCCTTAGGAAACTGTGCTTGACCTGGTACTATTTAACATTTTTATTAATAACTTTGACAGAGGCATAGATAAGATGCTCATCATATTTTGAAGATGATACAAAGTTGGGAAGAATGACTAACACACTAGATGATAGAATCTGTCAAGAACTAAAATGTTCTTGATAGGCTAGCATTGGTTTGAATTCGCTAAGTCAGTTGTAGACTTCTTTAAGCAACCAGTCAGCAAGCTTTTATTAAGCCCCTACTGTGTGTCAGACTCTGTGCTAGGAGCTAGGGATACAGATACAGATAACAAAAAATGAGAGTCCCTGCCTTCAGTTTAGAAATGAGTGACAAAGCACATGCAAAATAGATGCAAGGTAAGCTCGCAGAAGAACTAGTAGTTGGGGAGACCAGGAAAGACCTCATGCAGAAAGTGGCACTTGAGCTTCATCTTGAAGAGCACAGAGATGCCAAGAAGTGACAGTGAGGAGAGAATATGATAGGCAGTGCAGAAGTCTGGACATTGGAGGTAGAGTACTATTGCATGAGGAACCACAAGAAGGCCAGTTAGGCCCCAGGGGTGGGGAACCTGTGGCCTTGAGGCTGGACCATAGAGTGTAAGAAAGAAAGTAATGTGTAATGAACCAGGAAAGCCGATATGGGGCACAGTTATGAAGAGCTTTAAATATCAAACCAAAGGTGTTTATATTGGCTCCTAGAGATAAGGAGCCACTGGAGTTTTTGAGTAGAGGGTGTGATGTATTCAGATCTGTGCTTTTGGAAAATCACAAGAAGACTTTAAAATAGAACATTTTCCATCACAAGTAGGGGTAAGGATTTTGATCTGAAAGCCCTGGAAAACTGTCCCAAATAATCTGTTAGTTTGAAGATATAGATTTTATATCCCTACACAGGAGATGAAAACAAAACATATTTAAAACCAGATGGGATTTGGTTTATAGTATGGGCTAGCAGCTGGAAAGTATCAGGAAATGGAGTTTCAACATAGTAATGTGTAAGATATAATATTTTGAAGGGTCTCGGGCTTCCTCTCTTTCAGAATGTATAGAAAGATAGTGATGGTGTTTAGATATATGCTATACAGACTTATACGATATTACACAGGCATTGATTTGTTTTTTAGTAACACTTGTGAAGTGGGTACAAGTGGGATTTTTTCTTAGTGATTTTAATAGCGCCACCTGCCTATTAGCAAATTTATAAACTTACTGATTTTCACTTTAAGATTAGGTAGATTGGAAGATGACATATTTGATATCTATCTATATATCTATTTATCTGTCTATCAGCTGATTTACCATTTATGCCACTGATTTTTTTTTAAAGGGCACACTAAAACCCAGTATATAATTCGTCATGCTTTGCAGCTGCTTTGCTCTTGTAAAGAGTTAATGCAACAAACCTAAAATATTTTGGAATTTAGAGTCAGGCTTCTGGTTGTGCTTTTTTATCCCCACCCTTGTTTCTGCCTTATTTTCCTCTCTGCAAGAAAGGAAAATCCTTTTGTTTGAGTGCTTTAAAATCTTGTAACTCCTGGTAGTCATTTTGCTGATGATCTCCAACTCCAGCTCCTTGTGGCTGCTAGAACTGAGTATTTACTGACTAGGTTGTGGTCCTATCGCACTGCCACATTATAATGCTCAAAGGAAAGCTGGTTTGGGTTTAAAAGACCAAAGCTAATTTTATGCCAAAATGGAATTTAACTTGGGTAGCTAATGGAAGCCATGAATGGATTTGCATGTTTTGTAAGATTAACTAGATCAGTATAAAGAATAAAATACCTTATTAACCAGATTTGGAAATTCAGTAGATTACAATATGCAGACTAATTGCAGAACCTTTTTTTAACACTGAAGTACTCTCCTTAAGATGGCCTCTTTCATCTTAACATGAAGACTTAGTACTGACTGTTCAAGCACCTACATCACCATATCTACCAAGGGTGTGTTCCCTTTCCTTGGATTAAAATAGGTCTTAGACTCTTCAGTCAGTGTTTCACTGTAAATCTGCTGTTCAGGATGCCACAGTCCCTACCTGCCCACACACATACCCACCATCCCTTATCCAAAGAAGTATCTCTGAAGGGAGGAGATGGAAGGAGATATTTGTTGAATGATTGACTGAGTACACCTTTTTCTGAGGATTTATAGCCTGTCTTACGGTGGCTTCTTTAGCTTTCAGGGAGGCACGTGTACTGTTGTTAAGTATGGCCGGGGATGCATGTTTGACAAGTTAGCAGTGTGGCAGCTCTACTTTCTCTAGCCATGCCGTCTCAGGGTTTGTTTGGGTTGGCTCATGTCCAATACCCTGCTATAAGATACATTTCCTTGACAGTACAAAATGTGGAACCACATTAGCTGCAGAGTTTAGAAAGGTTAGCTACACACATACAATAAACATTAACAAACAAAAAGGCCCACCCACCTTTGACCTTGAATTCTGTTTTGTCATTCCATGTTTTGGAATCACTATAGTCTTTGATTAATAACTGCCTTAGAGTAATTGAGTCTTAAGTGTCCATTCCCTCAGTCAGACCACTCACACACCTCCCTGTTGGCTGCTTTGCTTACTTATTATAGCAATGGTCAGGGTACTGGAAAGGTTGTTTATTTGAAGCAGCCTTCATTTACCTTCTCCTTCTCCAGTGCCAGAAGGACTGTAAACCCTGTCCTCCTCACCACTCCCCCCCCCATATGTCCTAAGTGCTATCCAATGTGTTTATCTGCCCAATTGGTCTGGAAGGAAGGGTATGTGAATCGGGATACAGGAATACTCACCAAGGTTGGACTTTTCCAGGAGGCAGTCAAGAATGTGTGGTTGGCCTGTGTGGACATGCTGCCTTTGGAAGGTGCCTGTTGGCTTAGTTTCTTGGAATTTGTCTACCCTGATTTGTGGCCAAATTCTGTAACTCCCTCACTTGAACTCATATTTGAGAACCAGCAGATCTTGAATCAGTTTGCCCAGGCTTCAGCATACTGAGCAAGAGATTTCTTTATGCATGAGTTAGGTGGTTGGACAAAATTATCTTTGAAGTACTTTTGAGTGCTAACATTCTGTAATTCTATTAAATTAAATCAACTGCCAGGTCAGAATCCATTTGGAGGGTTGTCAATGATCCTTTCATTTCTTTTTCTTTTTTTCTTTTTTTTGGTAGGGGTTTCTGAAGGTCCTGGCCCCTCTTCTGTCCTGTGTTATCTTTGTGTTTCATCTCTATCTGTGTCATACACTTCTCATCCTCTAGCACTAGAGTAAAAACAATATGAGAGAATAATCAAGAAATTATTTTTACTATCCCTAACAGGGAATAATGAAATCTTCACTTGAACATTGCTTAAATAGTTTTATATGTCCTTGAACAATCTATGTAGTCATTTTGCTACAAATATGTTGGTGGCTCTTCTAGCTTTATCATCTAACTGCATGTAGCCATTAGGAAATTCCTAGTGATCTAGGGTGTCATAAGACCACAAAGAGGAAGGTCAGGCCAATAATCTCTGTATCACTAATTGCTCTATCAGAGAGGGTCAGATATTGATCCAATATCGGAAGAAGAAGCTGGAAAAGACAGCTGTAACCATATTTTGGGAGAATGAATTCCATTCCAAGTTCTATTTCAGTGAGTTTTCTTTTTACTACAACTCTGAAGGGTAGATCCCTAATTTTACTTTTTTTTTTTTCATGTTTCTCTATATGAAGGTACCTACTGTAGCCTCACATTCCACATATCTGCTGTTTCTGAGAATATTTTGTAGTCCTGGAAAAGTAGGGGTACAAGGGGGGACAATTAGGGCCACTAATCTTTTTGAGGTATCAGTGCTTTCTCCCCTGTTGACTTTATTTTCTTTTCTCTGCTCCCCTTATCTCTGCCATCGCTTCCATTACTGTGTGTCCCTTCAAAAACCAAAAGTGAAGGTTGTAGTTTTGTCTGAGCACTTTAGGGAACAGATTAGGAAGGGACAACAAAAACTTTGGGGTCCATTGGATCCAAAAGTGCTGTGAGTTTTCCTCACTGGCAGTGATATCACATGATCATATGACCCATTCAAATCTATAAAATGTGTTAAGACTTTTGATACCATTATGCACATTTTTTCTGCTTTATTTTTATTTTTTAAATCTAGGAGGTAAGTGAGATATAGGTGAATGACTACAAATGGACACTGTTGTTCCCAAACATATTACAAAATTCTGATCTCTATGAGCAAAACAATAAATAAATAAAAGAGCTGGACCTCAGTCTGTCATCCAGAGGGACATATTGTGTGTGTAAAAGCATTAAACATTGAGATCCCAGTCTGCTTCAGTGGTGAGCCTAACTCACTTATGTGGGCCCAGCATTCCAAGATGCCAGCAACACATGCTAGTGGAGCTGGGAAAGGCTAACTTTGTGGTTTTGATACTGTCAGGAAAGGGGGGAAAATGTCAAGAAGGGAACATCCTTTTCATTTTTAAAGGGTGTCATATAGACACCAAGTGATGAGCTAAGAACTAAACATTATGAATATAATTGTGGTTCAGAAGAGAGTCACCTGAAAATTTATCAGTAACAATTTTGAGGAGGAAGAAAGAGACATGTTTCACTTAATAAACTAGTAGTCAGCTGAAATTCCAATATATTAAAATGCATTAACAGGAAGCAGAGCAAGTTATCTGATGTTCCCGTCTTCTTTCAGAGTGTGGTACGCTGCCTGTGGCATCCGAAGCTAAACCAGATCATGGTTGGAACCGGAAATGGATTGGCTAAAGTGTATTATGATCCCACCAAGAGTCAGAGGTATTTTATAAGTATAACTTATTGAAGATGAATAACAACAATGGCGGTGGAGGAGGGGAGGGAGATAGGTTTTTCTTCTTTTACTTTGTTTCTTTTCCCTTTTATGGGGATCTGCCCTTTGGGAAAATGCAGCTGGTATGAGTAAGGCCTCCTAGCACTAAAATGTTGAACCAATAGTACTGGGCTTCAGAGAGGGTTTTGGTATCCTTGTTGATCCATACAGAATTCACAGTGTTTGAGAGTTTCCAGGGGATTTGTAATTCCTTTATGGAATGTTGAGTGCAGGAAAAAAAAAATCCTGTTTTCCTATAACCCCCCCCAACCCCCCCCCACCCCCAGTCCACAGTGTGCATTAGGAGGGATGCATGCACAAAGTTGGGAAATAGAAATGAAAATAGCTTGTTCTTTCTACGGGTACTAGTTGAGATGTTTAGTAAGATTGTTCTCTGCCAGCAGATAGAGACAGCATAATTTTATTTATTTTTATACACACACACACACACACACACACACATTTATTCATTCATTCATTTATTTTCCCAGGCATCAGGCTCAGAACGTAGGTGTTCCAAAGATATACTTCTCTAAAAGCACAACATCTTAATTTGATCCTTCAGCTATTTCCATTTTCCTCACATATGTTATTGCACCAAGATTTGAAATTTTTTGTTCTTTTCCAAAAGGTCATTCATTCTGTTTTCTTTTATGGAGAAAACTGTGGTTTCTAATTGTGGGGAGATTGACCAGCCAAAATAGGCTGGTTTGTCTTTATTCTTTTAAAGGATGGAATGATTTAGTTTTAATCTTGCCCAGTTAGTGAATATTTATTGTCCGTGATTAGGTGCAGTGTATCAAAGCTGCTAGTCCTCTTTTCTCTTCAGGGTGCTGTACCCTCCCTTATCTAGAAAAACAGACCTACTGTGCTACATGAAACAAGTTGTCATTTTGTTATCTAGGAGACTGAAAGCAATGGATATAACTGAGATGAGAAGCCCATTTCTTTTGAGAAGCTTATTAACCCTGATGTAACACTCATTCAGCAAATTCCAAATCCATTCTTTTAAAAAATTCATTTTTCCTTGCTGATATTAAAATAGACATCCAAGCATCCTTTGTAAGAATACTTGCAAAAGTATGGGGTTCCTTGCACAGAGCCAGCCAACTCAGCTCCGTCTTGGGCAGCAGCCCCTTAGCTCTTTCCAACATTACCTGTCATACTGAATTCCAGACAGTTATGTGGGTTCTGTTTGAGATGTGGATAGATGCCCTTCAGAGTATAGACCACCCAGGCTACTTTCTTCTGTGTCCTAGGCTAGAATTTGAACTCTACGTTCTTTGAGGGTAAAAAGGACAGATACTTAATGGTCTCTACAAGGCTGTCTTTATGTTTTTCTTTAAAAAGTAACTATAAAGTTTTTTAAAAATAGCATCTAAATTCTATCCGTTTGCTGTATTGTCTCACTATTCCCATCACTTGCCAACAGCCATTGAGTGGTATATTTCCTGTTTTCTAGGTGGAATTCCATTATCTTGGAAGTTCTATCTATTGCCCTTAGCTTGACCACTTCTGGACTTTGGCAGGATGGCATGTATAGAGTAGACTTCCAAACAGAAATGTCTGTTCATTTCAACACATACTTTGTTTCTAGGACCAAAGAAAATGACTTTTTCTTTCTTTTGTTTTTCCTCTTAGGGGAGCAAAATTATGTGTAGTTAAAAACAAAAGGAAGACTAGACAAGCTGAGACTTTAACCCAGGACTACATCATAACTCGTAAGTGATTGGAATGATTTTTAAAAGTTACGTCCCTTGTCTCCTTTCATGTGGTATTGATTTCATGGATTCTGAGGGGGGAAAAGCCTTCAGTTTAGGCATATATTGAAAAATTATTTCATTCATATGGAAGGTACTACCAGTCATGCAATATCTTACTTACTTAACTTGTGTGATTCATCAGACAAAGACAGGACTGTTGGATTCCTCATGTCACTGTTACAACCCAGAAGGGAAAATCCCAGCTGGTGTAAACCATCATTATCAGGGTTGTGATCCTCTGAAAAACCCACAACCTAGCCTAAGATCATGGGATGAGGATCCAGACCTATGTGTGTGAAGTTAAATTATGTGCAACAAGATATAAAATCTCAATAAAGGTGAATTGGTTCTCCAAGATTTATCAGATGTCATTCTGACAGGGAATGTAATCTAATTGGCCTGACAAAACTTGCTTTTTACAGAGACGTGCTGATTATTTTCCGTTAATGGATGCCCTTCTAAGTGACTAAACGACTGTCGAGAAAGAAAACCGAGTACCTTTTGAAGAGGCTCAGCAAGTCCCACAGTGCCCACTAGCCTGGCCAGTGCCCTTGTGTCATATCCAGGGGGCAGTGTGTGGCCAGTGGTTCTGCCTAGCAGATCAGACATAAAACCAACCTCCTTAGAACCTGGGTTCATTAAAGATATCCCATGACATTTTTTGCAAGAGTAGAAGTGTTAAACTCGGTGTCATGACCAAATTCCAGCTCATGTAATTACATGCGGCTTGCTTAAATTCCCCCCTGCCCCCACCCCACCCTTAAAGTCGTTTGAAGTAGAAAAGCTATTTTTCACTTGCCCTCCTAAAAATACTGTTGTGCATAGAGGCTGTTCTCCACTGGCCTGCCCCCCCAGGGTAGCTGCATTTCACTGGTGAGTGATGTGGTCTTGGTTCCTGGGGATGAAAAAGTGCTTCCAGATCTTTGCTATGAATGGCTATATAAATTTTAGTCATTTGTATTTACTGTGAAAAACATCCCTACACCCCAACCCCCTGGAAAAAAAAAAGTTTTCTTCTTGAAAGAAGTCAATCTTTATGTGAGCTTTAAAAGGAATTATGCTGACAGTTTTGCTCCAATGACAAGTATTTAACACTCCCCTGCACTTACCCCAACCCCAAAATAAAACTGTTATCTGACCCTCAGTATATAGAGAAGTGTTACTTTGATTTTTTTTATTTTGTAGAGTCATTTTCATATACAAGCCTGTAGCTCAAGTCACCACTAAATTGCCCAAACCAAAAGTTCAGGCACCCCACTACATTCAGGGCAACCTTTATCCTAGTTTTGTTGGCGTACAGTGTCTCTCTCTTCCGGCCTTCTACTGTTGCTCAGTGTTGTCATACTCCTCCTTGGACTTGGTCAAAGTTCAGTGATGTATGAAGTGATTTCAGTGCTATGAAGCATCTGGGGAAATTTGTGGGGTGGAAGGCATGCTATATACAATATAACTGTTAGTTATTATTCATCTTTGATTTGTGATGGATAATCTTAGGAAGTCCCACGGAAACTGAGTTTAACTGCTAATCAAATTTTATTAGCTTACAAATGGTTTGGGAAGTATATTTTCATAACTGAAGCCTGTGACATGGATTTAACCATGTTTCCTGTGTGCAGTTCCATTCCAAGAGAGGTGAACAAGTGACTCTAAAAATCTCAAAACTAAATGGGCTAATTGGTTACAGTAAGACTGTCTGCTGTTAAAAATGGAGGCTGTCATTATGCCTTCCATTTCATGTTTCAGTTAGTCATTCTTTAGCTATGTTTTTGGATGGAAGAGTTATTATTAAAATGAAATTTTTTTAATGTGACTTCCAGCTCATGCACTGCCTATGTTCCGCGAGCCACGCCAACGCAGTACAAGAAAACAGTTGGAAAAGGATAGATTAGATCCTCTGAAGTCTCACAAACCTGAACCTCCTGTGGCAGGCCCAGGTAAGTATGATCTGTTGGTTTTATAGGTTCATTAAACAACTAGGGGAAAATATTGCAAACTCATATTTTCTGTTCCTTTAAGATTTCCTCAGATTATTGTTTTAATAAGCTATAATAATTTTGACCAGAATTTCCAACACATAAACATCATGTGGAACTTCAGACGAGTAAGAAGGTAACCTGAGTTTCTCTGCTTACAAAATGAGGGTACCTTCACTCTCTTGACTCTATAGGGATAACAGTAAGAACTAGACCTGTAATTTCCTTGGAATAAGGAAACTGTCTTCATCCAGTTCAGGGTGGCATCTTTTCTACCACTTCCAGTCTCAGACAGTTACATAGACCACTGAGGGGTTGAGTAGCTTGCTCAGGGTCACTCAGGCTGTTTGTGTCAAAGGCAGGACTCAAGTCCCATTGTTCCTAAATTCAAGGCTGGATCCCTATTCACTGTGCCTCTCATATTGGCTTCACAAGAATACAAAAGTTCTTAGGATTTCCTGCAAATTCAATTCAACAAGCATATATTATTCTAGGAAGACAAAGACAAAAACTAAATAGTCCCTGTCCTCAAGGAGTTTACATTCTATTGGAAGGAAACAACATGGGCATAAGAAATTAAATATAAACTCTATGCAAAATAATTTCCTGGGAAAGGAGACTAGCAACCAGAGGATCAGGATAGACTTCTGGTAGGCACTTTAGGAAATGGAAAGTGTAGCTACGTGAATGGGGGTGTTATGTAGTGCACATTAGAATCCTAATAACTTCATCTGTCATCTCACAATTGCTCTTTGCTCTCTAAGTGTGTAGAGTTATAGAGCTGACCTCTCACCTGTGTTTTAGCCCTATATCACCTTCTGACTACAGTGATTTCTACTTAGATATCATTAAACTCAGCATGAACAAAACCAAACTATCATTTTTCCTTTTAATCAGTGTCTCCAACTAAGCTTCCCTGTTTGTATCAATGATGAATCTTAGGTTTATCTTTGATTTCTCCTTTTATTTAATCACTGGACCGTATCCTTGAAGCCCTTCTAATATCTGTCCCTTTCCATTCCCACTACCACTATCCTAGTCTAGGTTCTTAGGCCCTCTTGCCTAAATTACTACAGTACTGTGCTAAGTCATTTCACTACTTCTCATTTCTTACCTCATCAGGCCACGTTGAACATTATAACCAGATTGATCTTGTCAGATTGTTTTATTCATCATGCTTCTCCAGCTTAAAACTATTAAATGATTCTCTACTGACATAAAAGTACTGAATTTCAAATAAAAAGACCTTGGTTCAAATACCACACTTGTGGAGATAATAGCATCTCCAGAAAGGCCACATCTCCTGCCTCTTTCAAAGCAACAGCCACTGAAGATGAAGAAGAGAAAGTTCTTGCCACTAAAATCCTTGGTGCTGCCGAATGGTTTGACATTAGAAAAGAATATGGTCTGATCAGTGAAAATTGCAGTAAAAAAGAATTGTCATCCATCTTAAAGACCATTATACTTTTCCATCTGTCTTGTAGCTGAAGCCTGCCTTATATTAGAATATATTAGAACTTGAGCAAAGCAGGGACTTTCTTGCTTTTCTATTTCTATCTTCATCACTTAAGACAGTGCTTTGCACATAGTATGCACTTAATAAATCTTCGTTCATTTATTTTTTTAAAATAATATTTCCTCCCAATTACATGTAAAAAAAAATTTTAACTTTTTTTTTTAATTTTGAGTTCTCAATTCTATCTCTTCCTCCCTCCCCTCTTCCCTTTCTGAGACTGTTAGCAATCTGATATAGGTTATACATGTGCAATCACATAAAACATATTTCCGTATTAGTTATTTTGTCGAAGAAAACAAAAAAAAAGGTGAAAAATAGTATGCTTTGGTCTGTATTTAGATTCCATCAGTTTATTTTCTGGAAGCTGATAGCATTTTTCTTCATGAGTCCTTGTGGATTATCCTGGATGATTGTATTCCTGAGAATAACTAAGTTCACAATTATTAATTGTATAACATTCCAGTTCTGAGCCACCACAAAAGAAGAGATGTTATAAATACCCTTGCACAAATAGGTTCTTTTAGCCTTTTTTGGACCTCTTTGGGATGCAGACCTAGCAATGGCATTGTTAGATCCAAGAGTATGCACATTTTTATAGCCCTTTGGACATAGTTCCAAATTGCTGTCCAGAATGGTTGGATCACTTCACAACTCCATCAACATTGCATTATTGTCCCAATTTTCACACATCTCCTTAAACATTTGTGAGTTTCCTTTTCTGTCATATTAATGGGAAAATATTATTTAAAAAAAGAATAAATGAATGAAGATTTACTAAATGCTTACTTTGTGGAAAACACTGTCTTAAGTGATGAAGATACAAATAGAAAAGCAAGAAAGTCCCTGCTTTGCTCAAGTTCTAATATATTCTAATACAAGGCAGGCTTCAGCTACAAGACAGATGGAAAAATATAATGGTCCTTCAGGTCCAGTGGTACCTCAGAGTTGTTTTAGTGTGATTTAGTGATTTAGAGCATTTTTCCATATAACTATAGATAGCTTTGATTTCTTTGTCTGAAAACTGCCTGTTCATATCCTTTGACCATTTATCAATTGAAGAATGACATAGATTTTTGTAATGTTGACTCACTTCTCTATATATTTGAGAAATGAGGCCTTTTCAGAGATACTTGCTGTAAAAAATTTTTTTGCCCAGTTTTCTGCTTTCCTTCTAATTTTGTTTGTATTGGTTTTGTTTGTGTAAAACGTTTTTCATTTAATATAATCAAAGTTATCCATTTTATATTTCATAATGCTTTCTATCTCTTGTTTGGTCCTAAATTCTTCCCTTATCCATAGATCTGAAAGGTAAACTACTCCATGCTCCCCTAATTTACTTATGGCAGGCCTATACAACATTTGGCCTGTGGACTGCTTACGGCACACACGGCGCTTGCAGTCCATGAAAGGATTTTGAATAGCCCACGAAAAGTGTAGAGAATATAAAACAGACCTACACAATATGCTGCCTGTGGGCTGTATGTTGTACAGGCCTGACTTATGGTATCACTCTTTATGTCCAAATCATGTACCCATTTTGGTTTTATCTTGGTATATGGTATGAGGTTTTGGTCTATATCTAATTTCTGCCAAGTTGCTTTCCAGTTTTTCCTCTTTTGTTTTGTCAAAATCTTGAATCTTTGGGTTTATCAAACACTAAATTACTATGGGCATTTACTACAATGTATTGTGTACCTAATCTATTCCACTAATTCATCACTCTATTTCTTAGCCAGTACCAGATTGTTTTGATGATTACTGCTTTACAATATAGTTTGAGATCTATTATAGCTAGAACACCTTCTTTCACATTTTTTTTTCATTGATTCCCTTGATATTCTTGACCTTTCCTTCTTCCAGATGACTGCTATTATTTCTAGCTCTGTAAAATAATTTTTTGGTAATTTGGTTAGTAAGGTAGATTCATTTAGATGGAACTGTCATTTTAATTATATTGTCTCGGCCTCTTCATAAGCAATTAATATCTTTCCAGTTGTTTAGATCTAACTTTATTTATGTGTAAAAAATGTTTTATAATTGTGTTCATATAGTTCCTGGGTTTGTCTTGGTGAGTATTTTACATTGTCTGTAGTTAAATGGAATTTCTCTTTCTATATCATGGTCTTGGACTATGTTGATAATATATAGAAATGTTGATTTATGTGGGTATTTTTTTATATCCTGCAACTTACTAAAGTTGTTAATTATTTCAATTAGTTTTTTAGTTCATTCTCTAGGATTCTCTAGCTATACCATTACATCATCTGCAAAGAGTGATAGTTTTATTTACTCATTACCTATTCTAATCCCTTCAATTTTTAGCTAGAATTCCTTTTTTAAATTTTGGGGTTTTTTTCCATTTTAAATTCTGAACTGTCTCCCTTCCTTCCCTCCCTGCACTAGAGAAGGCCACCATTTGACAGATATATAAATATATGTAAAATGATACTATGCATACTTCTGTTTATCAGTTCTTTCTCCAGAGGCAGATAGCATCTTCCTTCATCAGTCCTTTGTAGTTGATTTGAGAATTTATAGTACTCAGAATAACTTGATTGTTCACATTTATTCTTCAAACAATATTACTGTTACTATATGCAACGTTCTCTTAGTTCTGCTCATTTCACTCGTTATTATTTCATGCAAGTCTTAACATATTTTTCTAAAATCAACCAGCTCCTCATTTCTTATAGCGCAGTAGTATTCCATCACAATCATATACCACAACTTGTTTAGCCATTCCCAATTGATAGATATCCCCTTAATTTGCAGTTCTTTGCCACCACAAAGAGAGCTGCTATACATATTTTAGAATATATAGGTTCTTTTCTTTTTTCCCTGATCACCTTAGAAAACAGATCTCAACCTAGTTGTGGTGTTGTGGGGTCAAAAGGTATACACAGTTTATTAACTCTGTGGGCATAATTCAAGATTGTTGTCCAAAATGGTGGAATCAGTTCACAGTTCCACCAACAGTGTATTAGTGTCCCAATTTTTCCATATCCCCCCCAAACATTTGTCATTTTCCCCTTTTATTGTTTTAGTCTATCTGATAAGTGTGAGCTAATGTCTCAAAATTGTTTTAAGACTGTATACAGCTTTGATTTCTTCATCCAAAAACTGCCTGTTCATACCCTTTGATCATTTGTCAATTGGGGATTGACTCATATTGTTATAAATTTGACAAATTTCTCTACATTTATGAGATATGAGACCTTTATCTGAGAAAGTGTATATAAAGATTTTTCCCCTGATTTTCTGCTTTCCTTCTAATCTTGGTTACATCGGTTTTATTTGTACAAAACCTTTTTTATTTCATATAATCAAAATTATCATTTTACATCTTACAATGCTCTATATCTCTTGTTTATTCATAAATTCTTTGCCTTCCCATAAGTCTGATAGGTAATATGTTCCATTTTCTTCTAACTTCCTTATGATATCT